CCCTCTTCAAACCTCCCTGGACCTCATTTTTCACCACAAGACCGGTCGAAATAGCCAGCCTAAGATGGCTATTAGTTTTCAGAGCAGTGCCAGTTAACCAATGGCTGGCACGCAGACGTAACCAAGAAAACAGATCGGAACAGGATTCCTGGTGCAAAGTTTGTAACACCCAATCCATAGAAACCCTAAACCACTGCTTCATAGAATGCCCGAAAGCCAGATCTATCTGGCATGCAATCGAAATCCTTTGGAAAAAGATCACAAACCTACCTCTTCTAATCAACCCCGCTACGCTATTCCTCGAATTAGATCAAGCCCCCACACTCAAGGGTTTCAAAGCCTTTCTCTCATCACTCGTTAAAAAAAGCACTCTCTGGACCATATGGAGAAATAGATGCGAATACACTTTTGACGATCGTCTCACTCCACCAGAGAACCCAATCATAGGCATAAAACAGCTAATAGACACGGAAATCCATGCCCTTTGGAAAAAACAACTCAACAAACTACCTACCGACCCAGATAAAAAAGCGGAAACAATCAAAAAGTTCATCTCTCTCAAATTAGGAAAAGGACAACTAGGCACAATAAACAATGATAGACTAACCCTAAAAAATTGGATAAATATTAAATACACAAACAAATCCTACCTAAAGACCACCACCCATATCACAACCACTACTGTTATAGTATCAATCGCACATTACTCAACCATCAGTAAAACAGCAAACCCCACACGCCAGTCCTCCCACACACTTCCTACATCCACACCTCCCCTATAACCCATAAACTGTTGAAAAAATCCTAACCAACTTACACACCCGTCCACCCCAACCCCTCCCCACCCCTACCATTCCTCCCAGAATTACCTTCTCTTTCACTATGCCTTATTCCCAGCAATCATCCCAGCATCCCCCCACCCCCAAATAAAAAGGGAAGGCCACACGGGACCGACCCAAAGCCTACGGAATCTCCCACCCCAAACCCTCACCACCTACCCCTTAAATCAAACCTTCAAAGACCCACAAACACCCCCCCTCTCATTATCACCCAGAGTTCAGACCAACCTCAGCAACCATCTCAGACATAATCTACAGGTATAGCATAGAAACGATCAGCAGGGACAGGCCATAGAGATGCGGCAGATAGTGAAAACTTACATTTTTCAGCACCAAACGTAGGATAAAACCAAAGTCCTAGTCAGACAGGCTAACTCAGGCAGGGGTGAAGGGTGGTATGTCCCTCCTTCGCGAGGTAATCAATGCTGTCCTTCGGACCTCCACACCATGAGGGGGACGAGCGGTGACTTGCCGGTGGAATAGGAACCGGACTGTCGCTCCCCAGAATGGATATGGGGCCAGGACCGTAAGGGGATAGCACGGGTAAACAGAAGTAATGGGCGGACTTTTTCTAGGTGAAAAAATAATATCTGGCAGAGCTGGTTGGGCAGGTCTGAGAGGAAAGAGTGAGCCATGGCAAACTGACAGTCAATCCTCCATCAGTGGTGGAGCAATCAATGCTGTTCAGGGGTCCTCCGGCCAAACGGGAGGAAGCGTGGGTTTTTGCTGTGATGTAATATATTTTGACTTACCGGGGGAATAGGAACCGGACTGACGCTCCCCATAATAGAAGGAGCTAGGACCATAAGGCCCTGTTTTGTTTAAAAATAAATAAATAAAAAAAAATAAAAATCCTATCTAGGCATACGACAAGGGATGGCAGGACAGGAGGAGCAGGGATAACCAACGGAGGATCAAATAGTCTCCAACCTCGCCGATGACCGAGAGACGCCAGCACGTCATGGCTGTTATCGAACAGGCTGCACATGCGCAGGCTGATGACAACGGACATGGCCGGGCATACAGTGCTGGGTACAACTTCAGCAGTTCTCAGGTGGCACGGCGATCTCGCAGTCCATGCCCACTGGGGGATTGAGAGGAACACAAAGGAGGAAGGCAGTGCTGTTGGTCAATCCTTCTTTACAGGAATAATAATAACAAACAGGGGGACCCTTCGGCATAAACAGGGGAAGGAAGCGTTGGTGTATAATATGTGTACTTTATTGCGTATTGTAAAATTTTAGAGCTTGCCGGTCGACAGGGAACCAGATTGGCCCTCCCCAGAACAGCCATACCCCTAATGTGTGTGTCGGGGTGGGGGGAGGGGGGCAGGGTGGGAAGAGAAGGGGGGCGGAGAGGAGAGGAAAAAGGAGTTTGCCTTCTGTTTCTGCTTCACTTTTTTTGCCACATACAGGTTCTGTGGGAATCTGTGGCCAAATTACAGTTTCCTGCCATTTATTGAATTTTATTCTAAATAAAAATTTGATAAATTAAAATAATCGGTGAAACTCTAACGAAACAGTTCGTCACAGCCCCTCGTTTGTTGTCCTCTTCTCCCTCTCTGCCTATGGTTTGCCGACCGGGCAGCTCTGTTTGACTATATATATCGTCAAATAGAACTGCCGACGGTAAACCGTCGGCAGAGAGGGAGAAGAGGACAACAAACGAGGGGGGCTGTGACAAACTGTTTCGTCGGAGTTTCACCGACTCAATATATAATTATTTATCCTAACTACTATTGCAGTGTCCTTTCAGCTTCCTCCTTTTCCTCCCACTTTCCTCAAGCTTATTTATTAAATTTTTGAATTATTTTTCTCTCTCTCTCTTAAAGGGCGGCAGCCTTGAAGTATCGTCTTTCATCGGCCTCGTGCATTCCAAAGACAGGATTCCAACTTTAGGTCTGTCTATCAACAGTTCATGGGTGTACCATTCAGCCACATGGGCTGGGGGTGCACTTTAGAGTTTAGATCTCAAGTATTTCATGAAGTACTTGGCCCCGAAAGCATAAGTTCGGAGTTGTCCCTCCTGCGGCGGAGCACCGACGCCCTGGGGGTCTCTTCATCGCAATTTCTTTCGCTCGGGGAGTCAAACCC